TATTTAAAGTATTAAGCAAGTTTTTGAAAAACAAGTACAAATTGTTTTATTCTGAAAAATTATATATATGAATGAAATTATTTTTATTCGAAAAAGGAAATTATATATATCTCACCATCTTTCAAAGGCATGTTTCAATCTATAAGAGCTTGCGATTTTAAATTGGTCTTTAAATTTTGAGAGAAATCACGAGGAATTTAAGAAAAAATAATAATTTTTTGATTGTATAATTAAAAGAGATTAGAGCATATCAATCACTTTTATCAAAAAAATTGGAGTTCTAACTTATATTTAAGAATTAAAATCCTAATTCAAAATTTAGAAATTTATTTTATTTAAATATTAATATCTAAATTTAGAAAACTGATTATATATTTTAATATAATTAATTTTTAAATTTAAATATCAATATTTAATAAGATAGATTTTAAAATTTTGAATTGAATTTTAATTAAATAAAATGATATAGTTTAAATTTAGAACTCCAATTTATTTTAAGAATTAGGATTGATATGCACTTTTTCTTAATTAAAAGAGGTTAGTGTATATTAATTTCAACTCTTAAAAAAATTAGAGTCACAATCTATATTGGAAAATTAAAATTTTAATTCAAAATTTATAAATCTATTTTATTAAATATTGATATCTAGATTTGAAAATCAATTATATATTACTCTAAAAATTTATATATAGGAATGAAATTATTTTTATTCGAAAAAGGAAATTATATATATATATCTCACCATCTTTCAAAGGCATGTTTCAATCTACAAGAGCTTGCCATTTTAAATTGATCTTTAAATTTTTAGAGAAATCACGAGGAATTTAAGAAAAAAAATAATTTTTTGATTGTATAATTAAAAGAGATTAGTGCATATCGGCCTCTTTTATAAAAAAAAATGAAGTTCTAATGTATATTTAGAAATTAAAATTTTAATTAAAAATTTAGAAATTTATTTATTAAATATTAATATATAAATTTGAAAATCGATTATATATTAGAATATATAATCAATTTCCAATTTTAGATATTAATATTTAATAAGATAGATTTAAAATTTTTGAATTGAATTTTTTTTTTTATCTTAATTGCATAATGGTAGATAACCATCTTCCATCTTTTATCTCGCCCTACCTGTAAGCAAACTCAAACTCAGGACCTCTTATTTCCAGTGAAAAGAGATGATCACTAAGCTACTTAGGTCGTTGACAAAATTTTGAATTAAATTTTAATTAAATAAAATGATGTAATTTAAGTTTAGAACTCTAATTTATTTTAGGAGTCGAGACTGATATGCATTTTTTCCTAATTAAAAGAGATTAGTATATATATCAATCCCAACACTTAAAAAAATTAAAGTCTCAACTTATATTTGGAATTAAAATCCTAATTCAAAATTTATAAATCCATTTTATTAAATGTTGATACCTAGATTTGGAAACCAATTATATTATAATATATAATCGGTTTCTAAATTTAAATATTAATATTTATTAAAATAGATTTTAAAATTTTGAATTAAAATTTTATTAAACAAAATGAAGTAGTTTAATATTAGAACTTCAATTTATTTTAAGAGTATAAACCGATATACACTTTTTTCTAATTAAAAGATGTTAATATATATCAATCCCAACTTTCAAAAAAATTAAACTCTCAATTTATATTTAAAAATTAAAATCCTAATTCAAAATTTAAAAATCTATTCAAAATTTAAAAATCTAGTTTATATAAACATACCCTAGTATAACTAATTAACTTACTGCCCTTTAATTGTAAGCCTTAAAAAAGGTGCACCGCCCAGCCTTAAAATTCAACTAGGGATGAATCTTTGTTGCTGATAAATGGTCGATTTTTTTTTTTTTCTTCAAATTGTATGGTGTTTGACTGCAGCTTGGACTAGCAAAGCTAAATTTAATTTTTGAAATTTAAAGGCTTGAAAATTTGGCCGTTTCCTGTCTGAAATTATATGCAGTGTTTAACGTCTTCCTCTTTCTCTGCAATAGGAATTGCTTCTACTGTTATGGGTCTGTAACTGTACAAATTGATGAGCACTCTAGATTGAACAAGTTTTGAACTTTGATGGGTTTTAGAAAAGGAAAAGCCTTTAAAATGCAATGGGTAAGAGAAGCAGCTCTAAAGTTCTGTTTTTTGGGTGGTTGAATATGGTAGTTTTGATATATCATTTCTGCTCATATGCTACAAGGGGTTGTGCAATTACTTAAAAGTTTTAATTTTTTTTTTCATGCTTAATGTGTTATTCTTCATAAATTGTTAGAATGGAAATTGAACGTAATGCTAAACAAAAGGCCATCAACGCTGGTGGTTCTAGTATGGGTGTGGCCAAAGTATCCAAGATTGCGAAAGAATCACAAGATCGAATTTCTGCTAAGTGGGATGATGCTAACAACCTTATTTTTGTGGAGTTCTTAGAAGAAGAGATTGAAAAGGGAAATAAGCCGGAAAACAATTTAAGCAGAGCAGGCTGGAAAAATATGGTGGAGTCTTTTAACAAGAGAACAAGGAAAACTTATAACAAGAAACAGATGAGAAATCACTGGGATGCCATGAAAAGTGTCTGTTTAAGTAATTGATAAAAAATGAGACTGCTTTGGGTTGGAATGAAAGCAAAGAAGACAATTCAAGTAGACGATGCATGGTGGGTGGCAAAAATCCTGGTAAAATGTAAGCTTGAACTTGAAATTATTATTTTGCAAATTATTATATATGCACAACAATCTGCTAGTCTACATTTTTGCTATTGGCTGTACATGAATGGTTATTTGTTAGAAGTTGTCATCTCTGTTACTCTTTCTTACTAAAAACAGTTGATTTTGCCTTTGAGGAATATACTTCTCAATGTATTGTCCTTGTTCTATATATTATTGGAAGCTTAAATATTTCTAGACATAATAAATCATCTTTTTCTTACATTAAAGTTGTGTGAAAGGAACTCAAATTGCTTGTAGTTGTCTGTTTTATATCTAGTTATTGATTATGAATCATGTTTCATAGAATTAATAATAGTGTTTGATATGATTATTGAGGTATGAGTGGATTTTTACTCTGCTTGTTAGCCCCTTTATCTGCATCAACTTTATAGTCAGCAAGAGATTTATCATAAGTACTTAGCTTAAAAAGAGCTGACTGATTAGACATTTAGTACTTCTACAGATTAACAATTTTGCAAAGTTTAGAGACAAGGATTTGTCCCTTCTTTGGTTTTGTTATGGTCCCATAATTGACAATGTTGTTGCCATTGGTGAGAGGGCCCGAGCACCATGTCAAGTTCCAATCCCCACTCAAAAATCTGATGATGAATATGAAAGTTCTTGTAACAGTAATGACATCTCAAACGCTGATAAGAAGGCACCAACTACTAATGATGAGGTCCACATGTTCCCTTGTCCAAAACCAAAGTAAGGGAAAAACTGTCTTCCGCACTAATAGTGGGGTGCCAAAAATTATCTCAGGTGCTACAGCATCAATTAATAGTATCAATTCACATGTGGAGGTTATGTCTAGGAGATTCAATCATACATCATCATCAGAGCCTCCTCTTGTCTATTGCTTGACCATGCTACAAACAATTGCAACCGTGGTCCCTGGAAATCGACTCTGGAATTTGGGCTTGTATTTTCCTTTGCAAGCGGGACATGAGAGCTCTCTCTGTTTGTCAACCTACTGACGAGGTCCACCTATCTTGGTTAGAGTGGACCTATGAGAATCGCCAGCGCCTGTAAGTACGCCTTTGGAGCATATTTTGTAACTTATGTTGTATTGTTTTTTGATATGTAATAACTAGAGATTAAATCCTAAATTTGTGATTTAAAGTACAGGTGACTCTACTATTAGACTACATGGCTAATGGTAGTTATGTTGTATTTATGAATTGTTTCCATGTGCATATGGCTAAACTGAAGTACTTTTTGTTAAGCTTGTAACTAAGGAATTGTTCTGTTAACCTATTAAGTTTATGCAACTGTTTTCCAATCTCTATATACTTCCACTGATGATGCCTATACATCTAGAATCTATCATTTGAGTATCTCAGCTGCACATGCCAGCAGAATTGATACACCATGAGAGGACATTTGTATTTGAAAAATAACATGCTTATAATATCGTATAATTATATAATTTGATTCATTTTACTAAGAAATTTATTTATAATTTATATACATCTATTTATTTAAGAACATCATAATTATAAATTTAAAATTATACTTCACATGATGTTTTAAGTACTTTAATTTTTGCAAAAATGAAATAATACTTATTTAATTAAACCAAATAGAACCATACCGTTTGACAATGAAAATTTTAAACCTAGAGCAATTTTTGTTTTTGAGAAGGTTTATTGGGTCCGATGGCAAAGATGGAATCATGCAATTACACAACTGTTTTCTAGAGATGGACCTGGCCCAATAAAGCCCACTTTCTTGTTCCCGTTAAATTACAAGTTGCAATGTGGTACCCACCGACCGTTAGAGTTCAAATTTCAGTTGGTTCCCCGGGTTCTCCAATTCAAACGGTGAAACGGAGAGAAAGAAAAAGCAACTTGCAGAGAAAATAATAAATAAAAAAAATGGAAGAGGAATGATTGCATTCATGCTCACTTCATCCAATATTGAATCATTAGGCTTGTGTTCTTTGCATTGATTAACCAATTATGGTCGAAAAGTTCGTCTCCTATACAAATCTATATTTAAAGAAGAAATTTTTTAATTTGTGCATTTAGAGTATAAATTAAGAATATAATTAATAAATTTTTTAATAATTAATTTATCTAAAAAAA